AACAATATGAGCATAAACATAGATACAATATACAATTCAGCTATAAATAGGTTGCTCTATTTAATCCTTGCTTTTCCTCACAAACTGCATTAAGCGTGAGAGGTGCAGGGACCATAACAGAATGGTGGCACAGAAAGTGGGATCTGTGGATAGAGTTCAAATTCCAGGCTAGTCTGTTGCATGCACTTTTGCATAAATGCAGTCAGGAAAGGATCAAGTCTGTCTCTTCTCCTTCCAGCTATGGGTTAAACATCAGGGTAGACTAGGTTCTCTAACCTTAGATGGCAACTAGTATAAGAGAAGGAAAACTCTGAATTCCCAACTATAAAGAAGGCAACCGGAAACCATCCTACTGCCTTTCCCAAGAATTCATAACTCATATAAAAGTTCATAAATCTGTATAGAAGGAGGCATCACGTACATACTGAAGGGGAGTGCCATTAAAAAAAGCTAAGCTTAAGAAATACAGATATGCCCCATGATTAAATAGTGGATAGCAAGCTTGTTTCACAGATAATTACAACTACAATAAGAGTACCTCGATGTGGTGTAATGGTCTGCAAGCTTGTCTTGCTAGAACAATTACGACCGAGTAGTGATTTCGATCCTCACTAGGGGACTCATACTTTTGGCCTTGTGCCACATCTAAGCTACACTTAGAACATACCATTACAACTACAATAAGTTTGACACCCGCCACTGGGATTACACTATACTCATGACCTTGTACCAGATTAAGCTTAGTTGATTTTGTTTAATGGCATATCAACACCTCTATGGGTTATTTAATGCCGAAATCCAAGTATTTTGAACACAATCTTATTGCTTCAACTACAGATAAATAGGTACTGTTGGTAATCTTGCTATAAATCGGTCTGTTGGTAATGATGCTATGAATAGGTATTATTAGTAGCAAAAATATATTACTGCTAATATTTGTTTTTCCTTACAGAAATGTATTGTGTGTCATTTTTTTTTTATTACTATGAAAATGTATTGTCAGTAATTTTACTATAAAATTTTTTATACTTTCGTAGTGTTTTGACCCCAGTTTCAGTTTAACTTTTTGCCCATAGCGGGACCCTAACAAGTGCTACTACCCCAGGTCAGAGTGGGCCTGGGAACAACAGCAACTCATCAAAACACTCATCAAAACCTCCTTGCTACCAGATGTAATAAAGCTTAGTAAATTTTGGGAACCTACTGTGACATGATGGTTTGCATACTGGTCTTACAGACCACTTTGCTAATATAGTGAGTTCAATCCTTACAGGTACCCCATAACCTAGTGTCAAACTAAGCAACACTTAAAAAGAAAACATTTTCCACCTGTGGAAGTTTGTGTAACTATCATGATTTAAGAATCACAGCCATTCTGCATTTATTATGGATTGACACATCCCAAGGGACTCGGGCTGCTGGGGTATGGGTGTTTTTACCAAGTCACTATCTTTAGATAGATTGACAATCAATGCTAAAGAGCTTCTATCTGCCCACCAACTGGTTTTGAATTCAAAGTTGTCTTTTTCTTAGACTAGTTGCCAACTAAGCTAAATGAGTACAGTCTACCCTATTACTTAACCCATAGCTGAGGGAAGAAGGGATGGATTCATACCCTTCCTGAAGGTATTGGTGTGATAATGAATTTAAAGTTGTCTTGCCAATTGCTCTTTTCAAACCACTGTTACACTATCCGCCCATCTGCATTTAATGTGTACCAATAAATATGCCAAGTTAGTAAATGGATGCCAGATATATTCTCCCTAATGTAAAAATTTGCATGATGTGCATAGAGTACAAATGGAAGGTCTTATTAGATAATGGGGTACTTCCACAGGCAAACACTGAACGACATAAGTTACCACCTCCAGTGATATATAAACAGCTAAGTGGCCAGGCTGACTTTATTTTGTATTTGTATCTCATTGGTACAAGAATAAAGTAATTCAGAATTACTACTAACATTTTCATTGTGGTCATTTTACAATATGCTATAAAGAAAAAAATAGAAGAGAGAAATAACTACTCCTTGACTGATATACCCAAGTGGTAAAATAAAAAATGAAGTTAACATTATTTTGAAGTACCATATATGGTACAGAATTAATGTTATAAGATCATGCATTCAGCCTCAAGCCAGAGCAAAACCACCATTACTTATGACTGATCATGTTCATTCAAGCTTAACTTATCAATTAGAAGCAATACATAATTGAAGGCCCACAAGCCTTTGATGACAAAGACATTGATAATCATTTTAAATATGATATTCTTACTAAAAAAATATTCAATAACAAATTACAATTAAAATTCCTTATTAATAAGAGGAGGTACTGAAAAATTCTTGACCTAACTTTCCAACATCTGACCAAACATCAGATATATATATTTTGGAAGGGCTTCTTGGTCAGCATCTCTTCACAAAGCCATATATCTGTGCAAGTCCAATCTATATAGAAAGGTATTCCCAATAGCTTTACCAAGTTTCTCTAGAAATTAATCTTGATCTTTCACATTGTGTTCAAATTATTTAGATTTCAGCATTAAATAACCCATAGAGGTGTTGATACACCACTAAACAAAATCAACCAACCAAAAAACCAACATGAAGGAGCTCTTCCCTAACACTAATCCATGTACTATCCTACAATTTCTTAAATAAATCAAACTGTATTGCAAAATATGACTTCAACAAAACTACAACATAAAACACACATCACCACCTGCAGTAATCACATCCAAACATGTATATGAACAAAAGCTGAGTATCTACCATGTATTTAATTGTGAAAAAAAGAATAACATTTTTATTACTTCAAAGCTCCGCAAAAATTAAATTTTGGCATTCAATGATCCATAAGGAGTTGATATGCCATTAAAATAATAAAATAAAAAATAATAAAATAAAAAAATAATAAAATAAAAAATAATAAAATAAAAAATAATAAAATAAAAAATAATAAAATAAAAAAATAATAAAATAAAAAAATAATAAAATAAAAAAAAAAATAAAATAAAAAAAAAATAAAATAAAAAAAAATAAAATAATAAAAAAAAATAATAAAATAAAAATATAATAAAATAAAAATAAATAAAAAAAAAAAATAAAATAAAAAATAAAATAAAATAAAAATAAAATAAAAAAAAAAATAAAAATAAAAAATAAAAAAATAAAAAATAATAAAATAAAAAATAAAAAAATAAAAAAAAAATAAAAAAAAAAATAATAAAATAAAAAAAAATAAAATAAAATAATAAAATAAAAAAAAATAAATAAAATAATAAAATAAAAAAAATAAAATAATAAAATAAAAATAAATAAAATAATAAAATAAAAAATAAAATAATAAAAATAAAATAAAAAATATTTCAAATTTCAAACTGAACCCTTTATTTAATCTACAGGCATATATTTTCCTTGTTTCACGCTCCATGTCTAGTTTGAGTTAAGTTCTCAATTGCCTGAAGATTACTCTGATCAACAGACACCTGAAGAAGGTCAGAGGGCACAATTACCGAAACATTGTAGTAACAACAACAAAGATGTTTTCTATAGGGCCTTCAGCTTGTACTTTTGAAGAAAGAGAGCAACAGAAAATTTTATAAATACCTAATAAGAAAAATAAAATATAAGAATTTCTAAAGTCAAAAGAGATCAAAGAGTTTATGCTGTGTTATCAATGAGTGGGATCTATTCAACAACAAAAAACAGTAAAACACTAAACTGGTTTACATTTTAGTATCAAATATATTTGAATCTGGTATACAAAAGATTTTGGTCACTTGTCACTGTATACTGACTTTACTACTACTCAACCTATCCTCCCACCCTTCACTTGCTTTCTGCATTAAAAAAGTAAATATTTCTAGCAGTGAAGGAAAAATATTTATCAGTCATTAAACAAAATGTAAAGGAATGGGTCTCTCTCATATATATATATATATATATATATATATGATTAATACAAATTTGTTACTTAGTTGATAGATGTTATATTCAAAACCTCAATTTCAAAGTTTCATGGACAGACATTTTTGTAATTGTTTGGTCCACTCATCAGGAGGTTTCAGCAATTAACTGGATTTTCTCATTTTTTGTTATTTTTATGCTAAGTTTGATGTATTTAATTTATGTGCTAATTGGCATACTACAAGGTCAGGTTGTGTTATGGGATTGACAAATAGGATTTTACCTATTCACAGTTTCATAGTGGTTGAATTGTCAGAGCGATTGTGATAGTAAAACAGAAGACGGAGATGGAAATTTCTGTTATGGCATACACCAAAGATTGGAGGATTTGACTTTTGTCAAAATTTCAGAAATTATAAAAGAAATTTCAGGCATAAAAAGAAACTTGCCATAGTGGAAAGAACCAAATTTCTGTCCATTAAACAGAAACAAGATGAATCATTTATACAATATCTTCAAACATTAAGAGAAGCTAGCAGATTTGACGAGTTTGACAAACTGGGAACTCAAGATTTGACTATAGAGGACAAATTGATTCAATTACAGTTGAATTGACGGTATGGCTGATATATCTCATAAATACAAGATATTGGAACAATTATAATTTTAAAATTTGCCTCTAAATGCATGTGTGGAAGTTATACAACAGGTTGATTTTTTTCCTTTTTTTTTTGTGTGTGTGTTTTCGCATGTACATCTTTGTATATGGTTATTTCTTCTTATAGATAAATATGTCAGTATGGACATACAAATCAACACTGCATGTCAGTTTCATGAATCAAGCAATCTTCAGACCACAGTCATGAAACTGACAGTCACAATCCAGTGTTGACTCCTATGTCCATACTGTCTATCTACAAGTGCTCTATCACCAATTATGAGCTCTCTTCCTATAGCAAAACAATATATATATTTCAATTGTGTTTTATTGGAATCAATCATCAACTGTTGTCTGTTTAATTTTTATTAGATTGTCCCAGTACTGTTCTTGTCGTGAACTATTATCCATCACACCACCTGCACATCCAAGCTTACAGCACCTGGTACTCTCAAACAGTCACCCATCTAGGTACTGACCAGGCTCAACATTGCTTAACTTCCATGATCGGATGAGAACAAGTGTTTCAATGTATACTGGCTTAAGTTCATAAGTCTTTTAATCTGTAAAATATAGCATTTTTAAAACATGCCATGATGAAGCTAACAAATTTTCCCTGCTGAAATTTATAACAATCACATTCCTCATAATGAATAGAAATCATGACAAGATCATTAAAGTCAGTCATAAATCGAAAAGAGGCCTGATCGCCCAAAGATGCATGGCCCATAAGGATGGAAACACTTAGGAATTAAACTGGGGTAAGGGGATTGCTAGTGGTAAAAAAAAAAAAAAAAAAAAAAAAAAAATAATAATAATAATAATAATGCAAGCATCATTGACAGATTACTTTGTTTTTAAATAATCTAGGATTATTTTAGATTTCAGATAAAATGCTGCTTCAATGTGAACAGTAAAAAAAAAACAAAAAAAAACAAACAAACACAAGCAAGAACTCACATGAATAAAAATACCTCAATAGTTACCGTTATACCATTATACAGAGAATAAAGAGATAATCTCCTTGCTCATTCAATCAGGTAAAAACTTTTCTTAGTCATGTCAATTACAAGTGAAAAAAAAAAAAAAAAATTTTTTTTTAAAAACTTGCTTAAATATAAAAATCTAGAAAACTGATATTTAAAAAAAAAACAAAAAAAAACTATAAACTAAATTCTGATTTGATCTCAATACATTCAAACTTATACATCCTTTATGCTTTGCTCATTTTACCAAGACTAGTAAGCTTTATTACATTCACTTTTATTTTTGTTATTCCATAACCACGCTTCAAATTCTACAAAATCTCTCAGACTACATGATTCATGAGAGCAAGACAGATGTGGGCAGTTTTAGTAATTCTAACAACTGATGAAGCCTGTGTACAGTTCAATAAAGAGAGACTTTGTACCATGTATGGTTAACCTGTACCTTAAGTTGAAAATTGTAATTCAAGATATCATGAAGAACCTAAAAATTCAAAAAAATCTATTTGCAGACTAAGTGGTGTAGCTTGTATCCCATGCTACTACAAACAAGACCAGTGGCCATATAAAAAACATGCTTCCCCATTGAGCACACTGATGGAAACACTTGAATGATTAATCAACAGTTGATTGGGGGGTGAGAAAATAAAATAACAGTGAAGAAAGAGGGTTTTGACACAAAGAGAACTGACAAAGAAACCACTATCAACTTCTGATCAGGAATTTATCAGCATCAGCCTTCAGTTACATCAACGGCACCACATGGTTCATAAAACATCTTACCTATTACCAAATTGATCATAGAATATGGGTGGAAAAGTTAGGACTTTTTGGTGAACAAGTACATAAAAGAGAGCATGTTCAATATATCTAATAAAAAAAATATAACACTGGTCTTGTATTTGACGAATGTTACAAAACTGGTAACAAAGTAGGTACTTGAGGGTGACACTTCTTTGTATAATTGGTAGTATCAATAGGGGAATTAACTGGACCTTAATACAAGATTTCAAGTTTACTTCAAAAAAGCTTAGTATCATTGTGTGTTATATATTGCAGTCAGAAAATATATCTTTTATCAACTCTGCAACAACTTAATCCTGAACTTGATTCATAATTTTTCATGGATCAAATTAAGCCATAACCTCCATGGAAGTGTGCAACATCCAGTTGAGTTAATAACTTTAAAATGATGATGATGGCCTGGGTAATTTATCTGAGGAAGTGTCAGAGTCAAATACAAAGCTATACAAAACTACCTACAGTACTTATATATATATATATATATATATTAGTCATTGTTATCTCGTATCGAAGAATTTAATTTCTTCTTTTCTGATATGATCACTTCTTTTATAATGATGGTATTGATGAATAAGTAGTGATAGAAGAATTTAATTTCTTCTTTTCTGATATGATCACTTCTTTTTATAATGATGGTATTGATGAATAAGTAGTGATAAAAAAGAATTTAATTTCTTCTTTTCTGATATGATCACTTCTTTTATAATGATGGTATTGATGAATAAGTAGTGATAGAAGAATTTAATTTCTTCTTTTCTGATATGATCACTTCTTTTATAATGATGGTATTGATGAATAAGTAGTGATAGAAGAATTTAATTTCTTCTTTTCTGATATGATCACTTCTTTTATAATGATGGTATTGATGAATAAGATAGTGATAAAAGAATTTAATTTCTTCTTTTCTGATATGATCACTTCTTTTATAATGATGGTATTGATGAATAAGTAGTGATAAAAGAATTTAATTTCTTCTTTTCTGATATGATCACTTCTTTTATAATGATGGTATTGATGAATAAGTAGTGATAAAAATTTAATTTCTTCTTTTCTGATATGATCACTTCTTTTATAATGATGGTATTGATGAATAAGTAATGATAAAAGAATTTAATTTCTTCTTTTCTGATATGATCACTTCTTTTATAATGATGGTATTGATGAATAAGTAGTGATAAAAGAATTTAATTTCTTCTTTTCTGATATGATCACTTCTTTTATAATGATGGTATTGATGAATAAGTAGTGATAAAAGAATTTAATTTCTTCTTTTCTGATATGATCACTTCTTTTATAATGATGGTATTGATGAATAAGTAGTGATAGAAGAATTTAATTTCTTCTTTTCTGATATGATCACTTCTTTTATAATGATGGTATTGATGAATAAGTAGTGATAGAAGAATTTAATTTCTTCTTTTCTGATATGATCACTTCTTTTATAATGATGGTATTGATGAATAAGTAGTGATAGAAGAATTTAATTTCTTCTTTTCTGATATGATCACTTCTTTTATAATGATGGTATTGATGAATAAGTAGTGATAGAAGAATTTAATTTCTTCTTTTCTGATATGATCACTTCTTTTATAATGATGGTATTGATGAATAAGTAGTGATAAAAGAATTTAATTTCTTCTTTTCTGATATGATCACTTCTTTTATAATGATGGTATTGATGAATAAGTAGTGATAAAGAATTTAATTTCTTCTTTTCTGATATGATCACTTCTTTTATAATGATGGTATTGATGAATAAGTAGTGATAAAAGAATTTAATTTCTTCTTTTCTGATATGATCACTTCTTTTATAATGATGGTATTGATGAATAAGTAGTGATAGAAGAATTTAATTTCTTCTTTTCTGATATGATCACTTCTTTTATAATGATGGTATTGATGAATAAGTAGTGATAAAAGAATTTAATTTCTTCTTTTCTGATATGATCACTTCTTTTTATAATGATGGTATTGATGAATAAGTAGTGATAAAAGAATTTAATTTCTTCTTTTCTGATATGATCACTTCTTTTTATAATGATGGTATTGATGAATAAGTAGTGATAAAAGAATTTAATTTCTTCTTTTCTGATATGATCACTTCTTTTATAATGATGGTATTGATGAATAAGTAGTGATAGAAGAATTTAATTTCTTCTTTTCTGATATGATCACTTCTTTTTATAATGATGGTATTGATGAATAAGTAGTGATAGAAGAATTTAATTTCTTCTTTTCTGATATGATCACTTCTTTTATAATGATGGTATTGATGAATAAGTAGTGATAGAAGAATTTAATTTCTTCTTTTCTGATATGATCACTTCTTTTATAATGATGGTATTGATGAATAAGTAGTGATAGAAGAATTTAATTTCTTCTTTTCTGATATGATCACTTCTTTTTATAATGATGGTATTGATGAATAAGTAGTGATAGAAGAATTTAATTTCTTCTTTTCTGATATGATCACTTCTTTTATAATGATGGTATTGATGAATAAGTAGTGATAGAAGAATTTAATTTCTTCTTTTCTGATATGATCACTTCTTTTATAATGATGGTATTGATGAATAAGTAGTGATAGAAGAATTTAATTTCTTCTTTTCTGATATGATCACTTCTTTTATAATGATGGTATTGATGAATAAGTAGTGATAGAAGAATTTAATTTCTTCTTTCTGATATGATCACTTCTTTTATAATGATGGTATTGATGAATAAGTAGTGATAGAAGAATTTAATTTCTTCTTTTCTGATATGATCACTTCTTTTATAATGATGGTATTGATGAATAAGTAGTGATAGAAGAATTTAATTTCTTCTTTTCTGATATGATCACTTCTTTTATAATGATGGTATTGATGAATAAGTAGTGATAGAAGAATTTAATTTCTTCTTTTCTGATATGATCACTTCTTTTATAATGATGGTATTGATGAATAAGTAGTGATAGAAGAATTTAATTTCTTCTTTTCTGATATGATCACTTCTTTTATAATGATGGTATTGATGAATAAGTAGTGATAGAAGAATTTAATTTCTTCTTTTCTGATATGATCACTTCTTTTATAATGATGGTATTGATGAATAAGTAGTGATAAAAGAATTTAATTTCTTCTTTTCTGATATGATCACTTCTTTTATAATGATGGTATTGATGAATAAGTAGTGATAAAAGAATTTAATTTCTTCTTTTCTGATATGATCACTTCTTTTATAATGATGGTATTGATGAATAAGTAGTGATAAAAGAATTTAATTTCTTCTTTTCTGATATGATCACTTCTTTTATAATGATGGTATTGATGAATAAGTAGTGATAAAGAATTTAATTTCTTCTTTTCTGATATGATCACTTCTTTTATAATGATGGTATTGATGAATAAGTAGTGATAGAAGAATTTAATTTCTTCTTTTCTGATATGATCACTTCTTTTATAATGATGGTATTGATGAATAAGTAGTGATAAAAGAACTGATGATATTGCATAGTAATGTTAGTGGAAGAAACGGTCGATTTTTTTTTTTTCTTCCTTTTCTTTTCTGGTGGCTTTGAAATTTTTGGTTCCAATGGTGATGGAACATCGCAGTTGGTATGATCTTCTGCTTGTGTTTCAAACAATTTAGACTAAAGTCCAGTGGCTTTTGATGTTGTTTTGAGTTGATCCTTGTATCTTCAAAAGATAAAACCTTGACTCTTTCATTCTTGCTACATGTACTGACCATCAGAGACAGGGT